CTAACCCCTAAACACTAAACCCTGAAAGAAGGACCCCAAAGCAGAGGATTCACCTGGAGAAACCTCGCCTAGAAGCCTGGGTTGCTGTTAAGGAACTTAAATTAAGTTACCATAATGGGTATATATGGTAGATAATAGAGTTTCCCCAATATAGTAACTTAATTTAAGTTCCTTAGCAGCAACCCCTTTTTCCCTTGGGTGAAAATGAGTTCGCACCTGCTGCCATCTCATTGCACCAGGCGCTGCGGTAATCACTTCCAACGGGGCGGAGCGTGCTGCAGACGTCTAAGATATGCCTGTGCAGCAGACATCTTTGCCTTGCCCTTGCAATAGAGGGGGCGTACTTGCTGCCATCTGCTGGACCAGGTTAAGACCGTTGAAAAGAAGGACAGGGACGCAAGCATGCTGCTGCGGATGCTGGACGACTGTTTCTGACGGCTGCTGGTCACAGGCGCAGCGTATGTTCCTGACAGCGCTTCGTGCAGAGATGGCCAGAACCTGAGTGCGACTGCAAACTTTGCAATGGTGCTTGTGAAGCGTGAGGGGATGCCTGTAAGGAAATCATGAAAGCGCTGGACCATCCAAATCTCATCACAATTTGCGTGGCTCGGGCTAGACTTGTGGCAGTTTCGGTGCAACATGCCGCTGAATTTGGTCAAGAGCCAACTGCCCAGTACATGCATACAGCACATGAAGCGCACATTCAGCCCTGTTAGAAGCTGAGGAAATTTTTGAGAATAACGACAACATCCTCCTTGCAACTTGTTTGTAAGTGGTTTCAGCCTGGCATGCAAGCCATCCACAGCCTGGAATCGGTAGAAGGCAACGTCTTTCACAACAGTCCATCTTTTTGGATGTTGCCCAAAATCCACCAAGGTAATGAAGCTTTGCAAAGGCCAGCTGCTTTGCTGGAGGTGGCTAGGTTGGCTTTCCGCGCTTGCTCAGCGTTTAACAGGACCACACTTGACACAGTACGTCGAGCGGGTTGCCAGCCTGAGTGAAAAGCAGCAGCTTGGACGGATGACCTCATCCCATGGTTGGCCAATAGTAGTTTCCATTTTCTTTTCCATTATCCCTATATTGCTAAGGGCTGCCTTCGTCATGCGAGACCTGCTCCGGGCGGTTGCGTACATGCACAACTCTCAGGCACTCAGGCCTAGTGCCCCACTCATGTCGTATGGCCATTGTGCTGCATGGGGTGTGCCAGGTTTGTCATCGAACCTTGGCCGCAGAAAGCTCATGCATAAGGTTGGCTGAGCATGAAGGTGCATATTGAAAATGTGCCTAGTGCATGGCACTTGCGCATGCGTTCTCTGCGGCATGGGATGGGCTGGGAGCTTGAGCCAAGACTTGCTGCATTTCTTCACATATTTTTCCTTTGCAAAGTATGCCGGAGTATGGGGTCTTCTCTCAACCCAAAGTTTGACACATGTGAG